TCGTATACAAACATTAGCCACTAAGTGCTCCTATGATTCATGCCGACGGGTGTTTACTGTCCTGCTGTTCATTTACTATCAGCGTACACGTACCATTCAGTAAGTGTGACGCATGGTGCCGGACGCTGCCTGCACAGAGAACATATTGCGTCAGACCATGACTGATGGCCCGCCGACGTTACCTGATGGCCTGATGGTGACACGGCACTGACGGCCGGTCTCTGGGACAGGAGAGACAGAGAGAGAGAGAGAGAGAGAGAGAGAAGAGAGAGGAGAGAGAGAGAGAGAGAGAGAGAGAGAGAGAGAGAGAGAGGGAGACCAGGAACTCGACAAAGCATGTGTTGCGGAGGATCCCGGCAGGACCGCCGCGCTGCTGTGAACATCGCAGTGACCATGTCGCCATCACGGTGGCATCCATTATTCAGATAATGGACCCAGATCCGTCGGCTCTGTCGTTCTTCATTTGGCAGCACTGCGGCCGGCGGCAGCGGTCGGACCCATTTGGCGCGCTCTGATGGTGCTGTGTCGCGTCACGTGCCTGGGCTCAGACATCCCCTCTGGTGTGATTCTGCATGTCCCAGTGCTCTCTGATATGGAATACATAGCGACCTTCTGGTCGTCGAACGTAATGCTGAGTGAGCAGCGCGGACCTTCGTGGTAGCTGTTGATTGTCTCACAAACTTTCTGGTCTCAATTATGTACGAACTGTGATGATTCTGTAAACCCCAATGACATAACTTGTAGCAGTCACGCACAAAATATTATCGTGCTAAGCGTTTTCAAACGTGCATGATGTTTTTAAAAAAATAATCTCCGGAATATTCTAGGTACGCTTCCCGATCATTATATTTGACAAAAATGTGGTGCTCTGGTCGGAATATGTTGTTTGCTATGAGACAAATTTTGCTGACCTAAGTTCAGTCGTGAAAATAGCCACATTTTCTGAAAATGTATCAAAGGAACACCGTGATCTTTGGGACACATCGCGAAAACCCTCTGTTATGTACTCGACGAATTTCTGCAGATTCTTCATCACAATCAAAACCTCACCAAAGCAGTAGTTGCCACATGGAACTGTGTTAGACTTGACACGCACGGGAGGAAGCAGTCTTAAGTAACGAGACTGCTAAGCGGTGCTTTGAAAGGTAAAATAATTGGGGGGACTTTGGACCCGAAAGCCGTGGGCAATGCCACAGAGAAGGTGATGGAACAGTTTTTTCGGGGCGAAGTGAGTGCGGTGCACGAAGGGTTAATAAGTGAGCGAGAACAAGAAAGCACTTTAACACGCAGCGAGCGCGTGTCAAAAATGTTTACTAGTTTCTCACAAAGGTGAGTTCTGTGTTTATCGGTGTAAATATTTATCAAGCTTTGAAATCGCATCTGGTGCTCTGAAAATTTTGCCTTTTCTTCAAACTTTGAGCCTTTCACTTCTATCAGTTGGAAACTATTGCACTTTTATTGAGTTGCACAACTTACAGCAGATAGTTTTTAGGCAATTTCAACATTTTCTCAAGATCCCTTCAAAAAGCGTGAAGAATTCAACTCCTTTTTGCTTACCTGCCTTAAATCAATGGCTACAGGCAAGCTGTCATAGCAAAAACAAATGAAAATTCACAAAGCTACGCTGGCACACAAACATCACAAATGTTGATCGGAAAGCGTCATCATTGCGCTTTGCGTAAAAGGAAGCAGTCCCAACTGGTATGCCTTCGGTCACCGTCGCCGACCCAAATTTTGTAATGCAAATGGTGGGTTAAAATCAGGCATAGCGAATTGCCAAAAGTTCCCTGACGCTGCGAATTTGGCGGATAAACTTAAGTAACAATATCTACACTTACAATGGTCAGTTCCCGGAGGTAATGAATTACGCAGGATAGTGGTGGATAAAATATTGGATAGTGGCTGGAAAAACAAACTTTGGATGAAAGTATTGAGTTGCTGTCTAAAAATTTTGAGAAAGGGTCCTCGCAGTGTAAGCCGGACACAATTGGTCTTACACATATCGAAGTCACCGTTTGGGTAGCGGACGGTATTTAAGTTGCTTTGCAATATTTCACAGCCAGTCAGGCCTATACAAACTGATGGTGCCTTTGATGATACATGCCTAAAAAGCCCATCACCTTACCCCAGCTTTTCCTCTGATCACTTTTTATTACTTCTTAAAATTACTGTATCAAATTTGTATGGGGTGTGGAACTGAGCCTAGCCCTTTACTAGACACTTCCCTGCGGTTTTCAGCCAGTGTCATTATGTGACGTGAAAGGACCTATGTATCTCGTCTCCATTTCTATACGACCTCTAATTTCCGAACTAGGCGCACGCAAACTCGCACAGACTACTTCACGACGCCTAATTTGAAGTCACCCAACAACCTATGACGTAATAAAAACGTCACACTTGTCCCGCCTCCTCAATGGCCGTACCGAACGCAATATCAGGACGAATATGGTGATTTCGTCATTCGAGTCTGGAGGACAGCAGCACGCATTATGGCGTCAACAAACAGCAGTTGGATCTCAACCAGTTCAACGCTATTTAGACAAGCTCCGCACACGGTTGGCCAGTTATTTGGAATAGAACAGAGTAATGAAAGAACATAATTAAATGGAGTGGAATAGAGAAATGACCATTCCAGGGCTATGGGATAAAAGAGAATGGATGACACTGGGGCAAGGCTACAAGCACCTGGGTACCCAATCGCTGAGACTTAGTCCGTACGGGGACCCAATCGCCGAGACTAAGTCCGTACGGGGACCCAATCGCCGAGACTTAGTCCGTACGAGGACCCAGTCGCCAAGACTTAGTCCGTATGCGGACCCAATCGCCGAGACTTAGTCCGTACGAGGACCCAATCGCCGAGACTTAGTCCGTACGAGGACCCAATCGCCGAGACTTAGTCCGTGCGGAGACCCAATCGCCGAGACTTAGTCCGTACGGGGACCAAATCGCCGAGACTTAGTCCGTACGGGGACCCAATCGCCGATATTTAGTTCGTACGTGGACCCAATCACCAAGACTTAGTCCATACCGGGACCACCCTGAAGAGTGCGCTGGGCGCTTGGACGGGGTCCCACTAGGGCGCACTTCGGCACACCCGTGAATGCCCGGTGCTGCTTGTCCCAGCCAAGTGGGGCGTCGCGAGGATGCAGGATGAAGCGAGAAATGGATAAAAGGTGTGGATCGTTGCACACAAAGCACCTTTTCTAACACACAATAGAGGACTTTGGACGGTGCTACTGGTTATGACGGAAATGAGGTTAGAAATTAAACCAAAAATGCATGTAGAAAATATAGATTACCGGCAAACATACGAGAACACCAGCAGAAGGAGTCAAACACGCGCGCATAACGACATTTGGTTGAGTACACACACATTTGTTACAACAGCCAGCTCTCAGCGAAATGAAGCATTACAAGTGAGTCAGTCGTCCGCTACAATGGCAATTCGAACACGGGCAGTTGGGCAGCGACTCTGACGTCATAAATACGTTCCATGATGTAATAAGGCGGTGACGTATTAAAGGGCATATTTACTACACGATAAAGCTCTGTTGTGCAGAGAAAGGCGCGCTAACAGCTATAAGTGAGCATTTTTGTGCTCCTTTCCCTGCAAAGCTTCCTGACAGTACTTTACATTCTGATCTGCCCCATGGTGTCTGCCTGTATGTGCCTCCGCGCGCGCCTGCCTGATTTAAATCAGCCTCCATCAGCTCATGGTAGCCAGACACGTGCTGACAAGCATCGCGGGGCTTGCAAACTCACTTTTCGATATTTTCCAAGCAACCCTTCCAAACCGCGTCGTCATTACATTACCGACCTGCAGCGGCGCGGGGAAAGTAATATTCCCGTTAGCGGAATGCTTGAAAGCTTATGCTTTATTCTACAACACCAGTATGCAGCTCCGACGGTATGCGAGTGGACTAGACCAAACCAACCGACACCAGCCAACTTCCCCACCCTTTTTGTGGACGCGAGTGGAGTTTGCCCCTAAGTACCTAACACGAGAGTACAATATTCAACGCATGGAAGCCACCTTTTTCTCATAAAAATGTTTGAACTTGGCCATTATGTTAGTTTTGCCACTCGAACCCTTCTACGACTGGTGAACATAAACAGTCGCGTTTGCCGCTGCGTCACATCATTTTCTGCGAGTGTCAGGCCCCCAGAACACTTATAAATTTTGGCCAGGCATCAATATGACGAGTGTTTTTGCGTCATCTTTCCTGTCGCACCGGTCGCGTATTATCATCGCCCAAAACCTAACATCAGCGTTAGGTGCTAGGAAGACAAGTGGTTCGTCCCTTGTCGCGTAGCGGCACGTTTTAGTTCTGAACCTCTTGGCAGATTTTGACCGATACTATTTGCTATTTGCTATGCGCTATTTGACCGACTGCTACAGCTTTTATCGAACGTGTTGGAGATGCAGGCGCTGCTGTTCCCTCAGCGGTTTCGTTCAAAACGCTATCGTGGCAAACTGCCCCGCTTTAAGACCCCTGCGCACATCATGTTAAGGTTGCACGCACAGGATCACCCGCCACGATATGCCGGCAGCTGCAGGCCGGTACAAGTGTGCGTGCCGCGCGATTGGACGGAATGCCTGTGGTGCTGCGCACGCCGGCACGTAGTCACCGCTCGTCACATCCGACGCCGCAGGCTCGACCGCGCAGGCGGCGCCAGGATCGTTGCCCGCGGTGCCAGATACGCCCCAGTCGAGGCGGGCGCCGCGCGGAGGCGGCGCGGCAGGGCACACCTCTGGCCGCACGCGCGTTCTGTTTATGCGAGCGCTGGATTGGATTGCCGTGAAATTGCATTAGAGCCGGCTGAAATTTAGGCGGCACATAATGAGAGCTCGGCGAAAGCAGGCGCCACATTTGTAAACAGGAATATGAAATAGTGGTGTTTGCGCGCTGCCTTTAGGACCGGGCTGATAAAGAGCACGCTTTCGCTGTTTTGGCAAACGCGCCCGCTCGTTTCGTTTCATGGTGTGGTAAACCGGCGGCGTAAGAAACACGTATATTTGCACATCTGTAAACACTGAACACATGCGTTTACGATCCATTCGCCCACTGCTTATCACAAAGAACGAGCAGAGTACGCATCTGCGGGGCCACGGCAGCCTTCCGACAGTTCGCACCCACGTGAGCGGCGTGAGTCAGCTCAGCGGAACACCAGGGCGGCGCATGCGCACAGGAACATCTGAACCGAAGTGACGAGCCCAGGACGCGAAGCCCCGCCTGGAACAGAGCGTGGTGGTCAGCAACAGGCATCAAACGCGTTCATTTCATCGTGTTGATTTAGTTAATTGCTGCAAAGCTGCCTGGTGATGATGTACAAATCACGGAAAGACACGCCAAATGCAATTTAATGGGGCCAATACAATAAACGACCGCAGTTATCAAATACAACGCATTAAAAGCTTCCTCGTGTGTTACCAGTACGCTATGCGCTTCATAAATCACAATAACTTGAATAAGACTGTTATGTATAAATCATACCAACCTTAAAACGGCAATAGAATGGCAACGCACTTCTAACGGGACGCGGTCGTTGTTGGAATCGGGCGCTCTGACAACTTTGGCCGGGGCTCCTGAGACGCGTGAAGGATGCCGAGAGACCGGCGGCCGACCTGCGTCTCGGCCGGTTTAATTTCGCTAATGGCCTGGCTAAATGCCGGACGACAACGGCCTCTCCAGACAACAAGCTGCACCGCCCAAGTCGCAGGCGGCGTCCGTCCCCGGGGCCCAGTCTGAGCCGTGGCAGCGGAACGCATAGCGAGGTGCAGGACGCATCCAGCACGCCGGGGCCAGACCGGTGGGGGAGGTCTGCCCCCGCCACGAGCGGCGAGCCCGGCCAAGCGCTGGTCGTCCACGACCGACGCAGCAGGGGTTACAGATCTTTCACTCGCCAGTACCGGGGGCTCACTCCTCATGCCCGTCGCCGGACCCCGCCGAAGCAACTCGTCCTCACCCCCGCGTGCCCCGCCCGCCAGGGCGCCGAAATGCCACCGCCCGAGGCAAGGCCCTTCACTCACCTGCCGCGAAGAGGCCGTTGCTGCGCGCGCCGCGTGCTGTCTCGCCCCAGATGGGCAGGTTGACACGCACGCTCTCCCAGTAGACGTCGCCCAGCGACGCGGTACACTTGAGCTGCATGACGCCCGCCTTGAAGTGGTGCGGCCGCACCGTCATGCGCAGGTTGCCGGTGGACGTCACCAGACGCGCGCCGCTCGGCGCCTCCCACTGATGGATGTTGTCCCGCGACACCTGCCAGCGCGGCGTGAAATTAGCAGCCGCGACCCCGACCGCCGACCGCCGACCGTGACGCGACCAAATGTCAAATCGCGCCCGATGGCGGCGGCCGGGCCATTTCGGGCGGGCGGCCGTCGGCGCGGCGCAGCGCCTTCATGGCCGATCGACTTGAGATGCCGGCCGTCTTGACGTCGCCTCGGGGCCCCACGCTGCCTCCCGGAGGCCCCTTGATTTCTCTCGCCGACATTTGCCTAATCGGACGCCATTTCTCGGCAGACAAAGGCTTGCGGCGCCGGGTCCCCCGGGGAAATGAGGGTCCACCGGCGGCCGACTGGTGCACTCGAGGTGCAGGGCTGCGAGCGCGGGCGGTCCGCTCGTGGAGGCGTTTGATTTTAGAGGGTCGTTGGCGTTACGTTTAGACACCGAGTGACCGCTGCCGCTGGAGACAGTAGCGGAAGGAAGGAAAGCACAGGTGTGATTCAGCCTACCCACCGGCCTGTTGCCAATCTGTCCTCTGTCTATGGATCTGCCGAAGGCAGCCTTTGGATACCTCGGGACCTGCCCGCCCCAGCTTCTCCTCAGCCTGCCCTACCCTGCCCATCAGCCCGACGGCGGCGGCGGCAGGGCGCCCAGGAGCGCCCCGTGGATGGGGGAGGCCGGGTCGATAACGGGCGTCGATGTCGACAGGCTCCGCAGCACCGATGACACACTGAGGCGAGCCGGTGGCGATCCTGGCGCCGGCGACGAGCCTGACGTGGCGCGCGGCCCGTCTGCCAGCGACGGTAGCGCTCCGCCATGATCGAGAGCCGGATTAAGTAGGAGCCAACACGCTTATTTGCCGGCGGCACGATGCTGAGCTGGCTAATTGCCGAGCTTATGGTGGTAAATGCCTGGGCCCTTGTTTGTCCGCCGCGCTGAGATAAACTAAATGGAAGCTCCTGCTTTCATGTAGTTTTAAAGGAAGGCTCATTGTTTAATACGCATGGGATGAAGTTTCATTATGATAATATTACCTAATTTACAATGTCGTGTAAACCGAGCGCACGTTAACAAATCCCCAATAAAAACTGTTTTAAAATACAAATATATAATACCTGACACATCCGTGCATTCTAGCTTTCAGACGATAAAACTTGTTGCTTCGTCTCCCGTCGCATTGCCTACAGTAACTTAAAGTGCTCTTATTTGGCCAAAGTATGTCCTATACCAATCCGCACATTATGCCACACCCAATGGGCGTACCGGTACCCGTACGTCAACAAGCCCTGGGATATCGTTGTCAGATCTGCCAATCAGCAGTGCAAACGAACATATTATTTCCCGGTCATGTTGGATCCCTGCCTAGGCGCGCAAAACGCTGACACTTGCCGGCTTTGGCGCAGACTTCGAATCGGCTCGGTCTGGTTTGTGTTTTCCCATTACACGGGAATCCACTCCCATTACCGTTTGGCAGAGGCCAGCCGGCCGTGCGTCACTGTAACAGTCGCTGAGGCGCACTACACACAGTCCGCCAAAGTGGTCTGTGTCGAGTGCCGGATAGATGTGACGCACAATGGTCCCATACACTGTGTTAAGCGCTTTCCAGTCGGTTATTTATCCATGCATGACGTTTTATTGTCACTGGATGAAATGGGATTCATGTGAGATGTGTGCTCTATTAAAAGAACAGTTCGTCAGTCACTTGTTTCTCACCCTCCCTCGTTCCACCGTATCTGTTTACTTGTCCAGTTTACTCATCTCACCTTTCAGCGCTGCCTCCTTCTGTATCTCAGTTAACAGTCTGTGGCCGAAATTATTCAGCGGCCGAGCCCCATAAAGCCTTTCTGGAAATCTCCTCGCAGCGCATGACTTCCAAATGTCCGGTCGGCGCGACAGCTTTGTTATTCAATTCGAGGGGAGCAGTTCCCATGGGGCCAAGAGGTGGCGCATCGCCTCCCCGCCCACGAGGCGACGGGCATGGCTGGCCGACCTGGCGCCTGTTAACTTGATCCCGTCCCGGATTGGTTTCCCACGGCTGCGGGAAGGCAGGGAAGGGAGACGGAAGGGAGCGAGCGGCGGGGACGTGCGGGGATCAATACTCACTGCACCGCCGCCGCTCGCTCAAAATGCGAGCTGGATGAGACTGGATCGGCTGGGCTCGGCTCTGATGAGATACGGAGCGGCCCCAGCTGCGTTTATGCTCCGACACCAGAGCCGCCCTCTGACGTGTCATCGATAAGAAATCGTGACATTTCAAAATAGCCCATAGTGCTTAAAACTTACGTGCAGTGTAAGGGTTATCATTCCGCGTTTTGTTCGCGGAAAACAATTCCTGAACCCGTCATACTGGAAATAGCAACAGACCTAACTGGCAACGTTAATGCTGAGAATTCTTCCTTAACATTTCCAGATTTCCAACATGTACTCTTCATGCTGGAAATAGGATCAGACCTAACTGGCAACGTTAATGCTGGGAATAACTTCCTCATCATTTCAAGATCGTTTAATGACCACGTGCAGCCGTTCCAACAGGACCATGTCAGCCAAACTCATCATCCGAAGGAGCGCCACGGTCGCCGGATAGACGGGCCCGGCACGCCGCGTCGGCTTCGACAGTCGCCTTCCCTCACCTGTTCGTCGTTGACAAACCAGTTGATGCGCACCGCCGGGCTGGAGTTGGGCGAGGTGCAGTTGACCGAGATGTTCTCCCCTGGCCGGTAGAAGCGGAGGTGGCCCCAGATCTCCGGCTGGCGGTCCGGTAGCGCTGCAGCCGGAGAGAGGAGCCGGTCAGAGACCGGTCTTCGGTGCCCGCCCTGAGGGACCGCGCTCGGAGGTCGCTCCTCATGTGAATACTCGTGAGAGGCCGGCCTTCAATGCCTGACTATCAGATACCATCTACCAAAAACCAGCCCTCAGAGACCGGTCCTCAGAGACCACCCTGAGGGACCGCGCTCGGAGGTCGCTCCTCATGTGAATACTCGCGAGAGGCCGGCCTTCAATGCCTGACTATCAGATACCATCTACCAAAAACCAGCCCTCAGAGACCGGTCCTCAGAGACCACCCTGAGGGACCGCGCTCGGAGGTCGCTCCTCATGTGAATACTCGTGAGAGGCCGGCCTTCAATGCCTGACTATCAGATACCATCTACCAAAAACCAGCCCTCAGAGACCGGTCCTCAGAGACCACCCTGAGGGACCGCGCTCGGAGGTCGCTCCTCATGTGAATACTCGCGAGAGGCCGGCCTTCAATGCCTGACTATCAGATACCATCTACCAAAAACCAGCCCTCAGAGACCGGTCCTCATGTGAATACTCGCGAGAGGCCAGCCTTCAGTGCCTGACTATCAGATACCATCTACCAAAAACCAGCCCTCAGAGACCGGTCCTCAGAGACCACCACTCAGAGACTGACGCTCAGAGATCGCTTCTCACAAGAAAACTCGCAAGAAGCCACCCTTTAATGACTGATCCTCAGACGTAACCCAACAATAATCACCAGTCAGAGTCCCTCCTCTGAGGCCACCCCTAGCCGCCTGTCTCTCGGACACCACTCCTCATGACCCGTGTCTCAGGGGCCGCCGCTCAGAAGCCACCACTCCACTCAGAGAACGGCGCTCTGTTCCGGCAGCCACTTCACGCTCTGACACGCAGCCAGAAACCGATGTTAACAGCACGCGCTCGGCCACTTCAAGATCCGGTTTCAGAACGACGCCGACTGCACGACAGCGAAATTTGGATGGAAAAGGGTACCAACTTGGTTGGGAGGGTAAGGTTGGCCGGACGTCCGTACCGGTTTCTTTCCATCGTTCTCTCATTATGCATGCTCAGAGACACCGGCAGCAGTCGTATTCTTCTGAACTAGCTTTTCATTAGGACGCTAGCTGGAAGGTTGTGGTACGTTCCAATCGCCCCACGTTAATATGGCATGACAGACTATTAATCTTCGATGATTTTGTGCAGCCGCATACAACAATAACATTTTAAACTGTCGAGTAATGTTAGCTAAAAAAGCAGATAATCTGGGTAAAAGTATTTGTTAAATTTCAGATTAAGATTAACTTCTCAAATCGTCCATACTGTATCACAGCTTTGATCAATTTCTTCACCAAACTCTTACAAATGTACTGCGGGACAGTTGCGTTATTACGTTATTCCAATTTCACACAGAGATGCCTTTGATTTATTTGGCAATCATCAAATGCCGCTAACTCTGCATGGTTTTGACGTCGGGTGATCCCCGCGGTTGCTGCCGCTGTTATTCACCGGCGGACGACGGAGAGTCCGGCTGATCCAGCCAATACTTTACTTGTCACCACCTGGCCCACAAAAACACGCGTGCGTCACTCGCATTCGCATAAGTGAATGATAATCAGGTCATTTGCATTCAACGGCGCCTAGCAGAATCCCCCACTGATGCCAGCGTCATCTGACTGGCCTGAAGCCCTCGCAAACACCCTCGGGCCGCATCCCAGCGCGACAGAACGACGCTGTCGCCGCTTACCTCCGCCGTCGAACTTACGTATTCAAAGGCCGGTAGCGAAGTCAAGCTCCCCGGCAAAGTTGGCAGCGCCGCGGTTTCTGTCCGCGGCTACATGGTGTAACGGCGGCATAAAGTGGGGGAGGTTCAGTTCGGCGGGCGCGGAATTCGACGAACGCGGCTCGGCGGCGGCGGCGACGGTGTGACTTACCCACGACGGACACGTTGCGCTCCTGAAACGCGGTCCAGAAGTTGGGCCCCTCGCCGGAGACCTCGCACTTGTAGGTGCCGGCCGCCCGGTCACCGATTTGCCTCAGGGTCACCTCGGTGTCAGACGACTTCTCTGGCTAAAACGGCGCGGACGGGTTCTCAAAACACGGACGGGTTCTCATGGCACGGCCGGGTTCTTATGGCACGACCGGGTTCTCATGGCACGGCGTGATATGAACCGCAGCGAGACGCCGCGCATGAGCCGATGCAAAGAGACACGGACAACTCCAGTCACTTCGGCGTTGTGCGGTATGACTAGAACAATCTGAACAATGATTACCTCACCCACGCAGCGTTGAAAAAGTCGTGATTTCCTACATGCGTTTGAGGAAGGAGGGGGGGGGGGGGGGGGAGGGGGATCTCCCGAACGCGAGATCCCGTCTGGTGTGGGTGACGGCATACCATTGACCTTCACCTTGGAGAAATCTTCTGCGTGTAAGCTGCTAACGCATTCGGCATGCTCTGTCTGCATCGGACAGATAACGGGAAGGCCAGGTCAGCCGTCGACCGCATTTGCCGTCGGGCGAGATCCCGCGGCGTTTCAGCGCGGCGTTTCCCCGATATGGGTCGGCGCTGGTCGAGCGTTCGCTCTTAACGTCCGGGCATAACGTCAGATGGGTCCGATGAGTCCCATATTAGGCTCGTTCCGGGCCTCATCCCCGTGACTTTCTGCAATTCTCCAATAAAATGGCGAGCCCATCACCTCTTTGTCGACGACCAGCGCTGAAAAGTTCGGCCGGTCAGCGGGAGCGGCCGTGTTACGGAAGCGTCCGGGCGATGGAAACGGCCCCCGAACCGGGTGGTCTGATACAGGGCTGAAGGGAGGCGGGCGCTGGGGAGGTGTGACGCAATGTCCGCGCAGGGGCCTCTGCGGAAGTCGCAAGGGCGCCGGGGGAACAGCCGCTGACTGGTCGGAAATCCAGCTCATCGCGGTATGGTCGAGTGTAAAGATGTTCTCTGAAGAGCGCTACAGTTGGACCTACGGGACGAGTCACTGATCTATTTCGAGAGAGAATGCAAAGGCCGGCTTGAGTACCCGAACGAACGTCGGGCATTATAGGATGCATCCGTGCAAGTATTGTTTGCAGCTTGTCTCTGTAACAAACACAGTCTCGCACGCTGCACGATGCTGGCAATAGTTCTGACGACCCATCCAGCATGTCCCAGTGCGACAAGACGCACGGAGACTATATCATCGTCTTCTGTAGTATGTCACCTTCATGTTCATTAACTCCCACCGCAACGCCCCCTCTGCACGTTAACCCTGCAACACCCAAGCATTGCGGGACAGAATTTGGAATAACCGATAGTTATGCATTTCCGCCCACGTCCGCGTCCTTTTCCTTGTGCACTTATGGTGCATTTATCATTCCTTTGATACCCAGCGGTATCATAGATTGACAGTTTTTTAGCTAACGCATCCCAGCATGACGTGTTGCACCTTGCGGAAGCAGACGCTACTCGTCTACTTGATATGCTGAGTATATGCCATCTGGTATACTGACAAATCATCGACACCCGAAATGCTGACACCAAAAATACTGATCGCGCAACGTGAACACGCCAAATATTGGAACTCAAAATATCGACACGCAAATCCCCGACCCAATAAAATGGGGACACACCAATAATTTCAACATGAGAAATATCGACATGCGGAATATTATCGCCGCAAATAATTTATTTCGGCTGCTTGGGGCACGTTCATCGATAGTCTGAACACAAATCACACGATTCGGTCGCTGAAATGCTGCCATATCCGATAATCACTGAAACATCTCGAGATTTTGCCTATTGTTAGGGATCCACATCACATTTCATACCGTCTTTTTCTTGTCTTTGGCATTGGCTTAATCTTTATCTTCGAATATTGCATACCGCGAATCGTGTCATTTACCCAGGATTGTCAGCGATACTGGTTTCTAGTTTAGCGGTTTGGAGTGTGATTTTATGGCTGTTGGAGATATTTTTACGTTAACAGTACAAATTGTTGCCTAAAACTCCATATCTAACAATCCCTGGTTTTTGAACCACAGGGGCGCGGTATGCAGTTTATGACGGCCTGCTACGCAGCTCATAGAGACCTGATATGCCGCGTATTGACGCGTGATGTCACCCTCAGAGACCTGGGATGGCATCCACAGGGGCCTTGCATAACGCCCACGGAGGTCTGGTCTTCTGCTCAGAGTCCTAGTATGACTAATCATAAGCAGGTGCCGATCCCTGCAGCACACGTCTGCAGTGCCGCCTTGTAGCTGGTGTCACACTTGCCAGAAACAGGTGCCACAATCTTGGAACTTAGATTTAGAAGGTCCAAATGCTACCATATGCCCGCAATAGTTGAAATGAATCATTTGCGGTGTCGATAATTCTCATGTCGATATTTTCCGTTTCCATATTTTGCGGTCCAATTTTATGATTGGACATTTAGCGCGTCGGTACCTTGTAATGTAATTTTTCAGCTGCACCTATTTACGTTGAAAGTTTCCTTAAAATAATGCCAGACTTGCCACTTGACAACAAAACGTCATGAGAAGATGATTCAAGCAAAGCTCTCGTTCATCGGCAAATTTCCACACAAAAAAATACGCTAAAGAGGCACATGCACACTTCGAGAAAAATAAACATGACTGTTTCTACCATTTCATTAATATTGTAGCGTCACATCTATGAGGATTAGCAGGTTTCGATAAATATCAAGAACTCTCGCCAGTGGTCTTATGCAAGGTTTCCTGTCAACCTTCGACAAGCCATTGCTACTGGCGAGAACTTTGATTGAGAGCTAATTTACAAAAAGACAGGCGATGAGCTATTAAATAGTTAGATAATTTCTAAACTCAGGATAGTGTTCCCAATTACTCTAATTGCATCACTTAGATTGTAAAATTAGTTTACGGAACTTGCGGGCGGTACCAGTGGATGGAAATTTGTCGTTCCATTGTTGTTTTTAGCGGTATTCTATCTTCCGAAAGCAGAAAATGTATGTGCTTTGTAGAAGCACAAATTTGAATTTCTACTAGTGCCTCGCATTTTGCTTGCTTTGCTTGTTGCTTGTTGTATTATATAGTTGCTTTATGGTTTACGTTCAGAAATGTCAGGGACCGGTGGCGGACTGAAGGGGGCTAATTGGTCCCGTACCTTCCTAACCTACAAGGCGGTAGAAAGCAAAACTTCCTTGCCTTCTAGCGTGATTTCGTATACTTAGCACGGTATTCGAGAAAAAAAAAATCCCACTCGCTTAATGTGTTTTCATTTGGGAGCATGCAGCACACATATTTCACATGTATGTGCACGTTCACATATAGACCTTTTCGGAGTTTGCACACTTGACAACGTTGACACTATTTTCACCATGTGTTTTAGTACATCAGAGGCACGCTCAAAAAAGCTCACAAAATATGTTGCTTCATATCATGGCTGAGTGATGCAGCGCTGAGAAAGAAGCTATTTTGTTGAGCTCTTGGAATATATCGCCAATACGTTGTCCAAAGATATTACCATGCTTTATGCCTCTCGGCCAAAAGCGCATGGGGCTCAATGTTTCCGGACATCCATTTTAAGGCTTATCGTGGGATAATGATAATTGTGCTTCACAGCTGGCATTCAGATTTGTTCATCTGTCAGCCACATCAGCACCAACCATGACAGTCGTGCCATGGCTCTTACGGCGAGCTGGCGTTACAGTCTTTCGCCTACAGAGAGACTCTGGGGTCCACGACATTACGCCTACCGAGTGACGCTCGGCTCCACGGCATTAACGCCCGCCGAGTGACGCTGGGCTCCACGGCATTTACGCCCACCGAGTGACGCTGAGCTCCAAGGCATTTACGCCCACCGAGTGACGCTGGGCTCCACGACATTTACGCCCGCCGAGTGACGCTGGGCTCCACGGCATTTACGCCTACCGAGTGACGCTGGGCTCCACGGCATTTACGCCTACCGAGTGACGCTGAGCTCCACGACATTTACGCCCGCCGAGTGACGCTGAGCTCCACAACATTTACGCCCGCCGAGTGACGCTGGGCTCCACGACTCTTACGCAGTGGGGTGACCAATAGTTGCGCTTGAACGACCACGCATCCACCGCCCCACGCCGGAGCTGCCATCCTCAGTCGACTGCTATTGCTGGAGCTCTTTTCGCTCGGAAAAGTAGGAAAGGCTGACATAAAAATCGGTGCCGGGTCTCAACCACACTTGGGCTCACCAGCAGCGGCCACACGTGCTAAATGGGGTGACTCCCCATAGCGCCCTGCCGGCCGTACTTTATGCTCGATGTACGCCGCAGAATGGATATTGCTAAAGCATGCCGGCGTTGAAACGGTCCTGCGGTGCGACTTAGTGTATCGACGCGCCATGCGTCAGACATGAGCCAGTTGGGAGTCGAAGGGATATTTATAAAAGAAACTTTCTGCCAACATTATTCCCGAGACTCCGTTTGCAAGCTCTTAAGAATGTGAAGTGATTGACCTCGTTTAACGCTTCCTTGATAGCTTTTTGGAGCGCGTTCAGTGACCTACCATTCAGGTGAGCGCTATGGATCTAGGAGACTGTTTTAGTTTGCCATAACCATTCCGAAGCGCGACGGGGCATTATTTAGAAAACCGTCGGTTGGTGAATCTTGGTGGCTGGTTTTATCACTTTTCATTGTTTATTTTCTCCTAACTTAGTTTGCGAAACTACGCCCTTGCAACAGAATGCAATGGATTATTTTGTAGAGCATTGGACACAACATATATTCCTTTTAATGACATGCAGGGCGAGGTCTAGACAAAAAGTAGGTTAGGTGGCAAGCGCACAATCAAGCAAAAGCCTAACTCTCGGATCTCCCAAATGAACAAGATTATTGTGTGCACATCACTACTTCATAAGAGATATTCTTAAAGACGTGAAAATATGATGCTCAAACAAATCGCCGGCACTGCAGCTTTAATGACATGACGGTTTCCCATTGCAGAGCAATAAAAGAGCCTGAATGAGGACCGCAGACAAAAAGCAAGGTTTCTGACCTGATAGATCGGTCGGCGGTGTGGAAATGTCACCTAAAATTGACTTGTAAGCCACCGCACCCAGATTACATCCACCGGTGGACACAAACCAACAGTTATTTCCAGTCCCCCCCCCCCCCCCTCCAAGTTGCACATGACGGTGGGGGCGGGGCCTCTGTAGAGATAAGCGGCGGGCGCAGGGACCTGTGTGATTCTTACATTGCTTCTCCTCATACACCAGTACAGGGTTAACGTTAAACGTAACTCAGAATTGGGGAACATCTGCCCGCCTCCCTCTCCCGCCCCCCCCCCCCCCCGCCACCCTCTTCGGCCGCGCCTGGCTCACGGAAAAACGGTTTTAGAAGGATAGCTCGCCAGGAAAAATCGGTGTTAAAAGTTTTGATCGAGGTGATCAATAAAGAAGAAAAGGAAAAAATATAAATCAAATGGAAAACATACGGGTGATAGGCAGAAATTTGTCAACTGATTTATGAGAATAAATATCACATTTCTCCGGAGTCTTATTTCAATGGGGGGATAAAACGTCACTACTATCAGAAAACTGGAATGGAATGTATATAAGGACTCAATATCTGAGGCTCATAAGCGTAACATTCACAACTTAACGCTTGATGTACGTCAGCCGCTAAAGGATCCCTTCCTTTGACCGTTGCAGCAGCCAATCAGAGATTATGATAAATTCACGAGCTTCCGTGACCTCTGATCGAAATTGATTGGCTCATGCATGCGCTGAATAGGTCTGAAGTGTTAGCACAGTACTCAACGATGTATGTAAAGAAGGCGATGCAGCTGGGTGGCAGTTATCAAACACGTGTCGCCTCAAAAGCAGGCGGCTTATTGATCATTCAAAGAACACAAGTTGAATGAGCTCGTAGTCAGTATTTGACAACCCCTGCCTTGGAAAAGGAAAAGAGAAAATGTTCAAATCTTAACTTTAAAAATTTTATCTTGAAACGATCGGTGAATTTATTCGCCACTTCCTCAACAACGTTGCCTTCGGACCAATCGAAGTCCCAGCATATCTTAAAAGACACCAGTGAGACTTCCCCTGGGTCCAAAGACGCTCGTGGTGCCGCATCGGCGAGCTAACAGAGGCGGTTTGACGTCGCTCCGGGGCGGCCGTCGGTGCGGAAAACACGGGGGAAACATGCATCTCACCCCTGTAGACCCGAAAAAACGAAAAAAGCATGCATCTACGGCCCGTCTCACGACCGCGCTGTAGAGCTCACGCCGGTCGTGACCGTCTCGTGACCGGCCGTGACCGCCTCGTAACCGGGCGTGACCGTCTCGTGATCGGCAGTGACCACCTCGTGACCGGCCGTGACTGTCTCGAGGCCGGTAGTGACCGTCTCGTGACCGGCCGTGACCGCTCGTGACCAGCAGTGACCATCTTGTGACCGGCAGCGACCGTCTGGTGACCGGCCGTGACCGCTTGTGACCGGCCGTGACCGTCTCGTGACTGGCAGTGACCGTCTCGTGACCTGACGTGACCGTCTCGTGACCGGCAGTGACCGCCTCGTGACCGGGCGTGACCGTCTCGTGATCGAGTGACCATCTCGTGACCGGCCGTGACCACCTCGTGACCGACCGTGACCGCCTCGTGACCGGCGGTGACCGTCTCGTGACCGGAGGTGACCGTCTCGTGACCGCCCGGTGACCAGCCGTGACCGTCTCATGACCGCCTCGTGACCGCCTCGTGACTAGCCATGACCGTCTCGTGACCGGCACTGACCCTCTCGTGACCGGCCGTAACTGGCTCGTGACCAGCCTCAGCAGCAGCCGTCTGGAGATAAAGGTCCGCAGGCGTCGCTGGACGGGCCGAACGGCGCCCGAGGGCGGGCCGTATTGGGACGCCCTGGCGGGCCAGACGGCGGGACGCGGACGCGAGGCTGCCAGCTGCAGCCTCGCGGTGCTCGAGGCCGGGGAAGGGGAGGGGTGCTGGCGGCCCGGCAGATCACGTCCCCGGCAACGGTTAGACTGGGTGCTGGCGTTCGGCGTATACGCTGTAGTATTAAGATACGTTTCTCGAACTGGGAGGACGTCGCATCACCATGGTAAGTTAAACAATTTCGAAATGCAGCGTATTTTATTGGATGCTGGGACAATTGGAGCCCCGACGACAAGAGATGGACGGCATTTGGGAGCTTGATGTTCCTTGGAAATATGGATATCAACTTTAAAGATGTGAGGAAAGGAGCTGTTTTCCCTGACATTCGGGATATATAACCAAAAGTTCGGCGAAGCCTTCAAGACGGTCCGAGGCATGATGATGCCACGGACCGATGATGCCTCCAACCGCGCCGTTCTCAACCATCTCGTTCCCAAACTGAAAATATCTTAGATGGAAGTGTCGATTGAATGTTGAAGCATGCTGGCAACAACAAACATGTCCTTAAAAGTGGTACGGGATGGAGTCAGCGCTATCCTACATGCTTGGGCGCAATGATGCGCTGGGAAGGCTTGGCCGCTATCGATACTGGTGCCGGCTTTCAATATATCTAGCTCGTGAGTAAATATCTGCTGATATCGCGAAGTTTCAGCACTACCAGCTCAGGAACCGCCCGGGCACCACCGGCGCTAGATCAGTTCTGGTATCACATCAGTTCAGTTCTGAATTTGCTTACCGCGACAACTACCGTAACTCTAGCTGGCAGGCTAGTGGAGCAAATCTTAAGTGTCGTTTCGCGAACATCTAAGCTTCCACTAGAACCACATTTTCCTCCTTCGTCACGTCGCTGCACAGGTGAGGGCCCTGTCCCACCGCCATCGATCCCAGACTCATTCGGTTCAACTAATCCCGGCTTCTCTCCCCTCTCCCTCGGGGTTGTCGTCGAGATGTGCGCGAGCTGTAAGCGAGTGAAACGACGTCGCCTGATGGGGCGCACCCTTGGCTGGCTCGCACACGGCGAGACAATGCCGGAGAAAATCGTGCGTTGTGACACAACTTGGGGCAATGCCATCATTTTGTCTGGTTTATCCTACTCAGGAGAGGTCTGACCTTGCTTTTTTGGCACTTATGAAACAAAGCAATGGCTGTCTCTGTCACCAGTTGCTACGGATTAGCCTAGTTTACTTTCAGGCTGTTCATATCTTAATTGAGATGAAAACCAGCTGATCAAAGCAGCGGGAAGCTTCGCAACTTCGGCTTCCTTGACGGCCTGAGGACCGCATTATGGAAAGTTTCCAGTCCCTGGAGGTCCTGTCACAACTCACGCCGGCTAAAGCCTTGCGAGTCGAGTTACTGTCACTCCACGCCGGAGTTGCCAGCTAATTTGATTCCCAACTTCATCGGTAGTTCTACCGTTTTCAGATTACCACCGTTGAGGGTAGAGGGGCTGCACACGGGGCTCAGCCAACTATTGCTGGAGATTCTGATTAATTTCAAAATAATTTTTCGTGACGCAACCAGCTCTGTAAGACGCATAAGCCGACGAGCTCGTGACGCAAAAGACGCATCAATTTCTTATGAGCCTGTCAGGACCTCAGTCTTACACTCGCTGCACCTCGTAAGGCGTTCGATCTTCGTCGCCGAAATCGATAATGCTGAGCTCTTAATCATAGCAGATGCCATTTAAACCCCCCACCAGACCTAATTTCATGCAACAGGCACGCGGAGCACGCCACGCCGTAGTGACGTCACTCACCACCACTTGAAATCCGGAGACATTGTAGGAGCCCTTCTGCTGGCTATTCTGAGGCAGGAAGTGGTAGAACTCCTGCCGGTCCTTGTACCATTTGACGGCGTATATATCCTTGCCCTCGGGGTCATACTTACAGCGTAATGTCACTTCGCCTCCCCTCACCAACGAACGGGGAATCTGCATGTCAACGATACGTATGCACAGCACGCCTGAAACAAACACAAACCGCCTGTTGCTGCCTGTGACGACGTGCCGCAAACAGAAAGTGCAATCATCGACCATGAGCTCCCGCAAGGCCACCTTGTGTTCCCAGAGTCCAGCGGGAGTTCTTAGCATCAAATGATCACAAACCCTAAGGCAACAAGTGGCTGATTTTAGGCATTATGCTATGCTCCATGCATAGTCAACACGTCGACACTCATTTGGTGAACATTTGACTGCATTCATACATTGAAATGTCTTCCCGACACCGCACGTTACCCGGGGAGCATGAACCATAGTGCGACACTTGGGCTTCGAAGTCCGCCACTTCAGGGCTCCCGGCTTAAGGCTCTGATACTTGTCGGGATGTGGCGAAATTTGGCCGTAATTCTGCCGTCGACCTACCCGGAAGCAGACATGTGAGCAGCCAGCCAGTAGCGGTAGGCCACTGACGGTGGTACCAGTTCATCTGGGAATGAAGGCACCGCTTGAGTCAGAACCGGCGAGCGAGACCCATCACGCGCGAGTGCACAACTCAGCTGACATGCACATTGACCTCACTGAGAATGTTCTCAGTAAGTTCATTCAATCTTTTAATCAAATGAAAAAATTCCAGCTCCTGTTTACAAAGTGAGTTCCACGAAGGGCGAGTACGCAGTTTAAAGCCGCAGGCCCAGAAGTTGTGAATACGCTTCTCACACACTTCGTAACTTCCCTAAATACAACCTTGTTAACTTTCAAAAGCCAGTCCCGCCGGCCGTAAAAGCTGTGGACTGTGCTGACACATTCCAGTCGTCATGACCTGAGCGTTGCCTTCCGCATGTACCGCAGAGTATACACCACCACGCGTCGCGATGCCGACAACGTATCCCAGATAACTCCACCGACCTCCCTGTCTACTGACAGCGTCCCCACCCACGTCCCCTCTCGCCCCCCCCCCCCCTTTCCCGTCCTACCTCCGTCGGGTGGTCTGTCGCTGGTGCTGGGCAGCGGTCCGACCTCGCCTCGCCGCCCGGACCAGCCGTGCCCCGCTCGGCCACATCTCCGCCCCGACTGCGGCCGACGTGTCGCGACCGACGCGGGCCGGAGCGCGCCGACGGCCGGCGTCGACGCCGACGACTCGAGCTCGCCGGCCGCCGCGCGACGGGCACGGTTGGCGGAGCGGCGCGCCCGCGGCGCCACGTGTGCGACGTCGAGGGTTGAAGGCTGTGACTGACTCCCGCTGCAGGGCGCGGACTGGCGTCGGCGCGAGAGATGTAACGAGGGGTGGCAGTGACGGATTGCCGACCGTCAACTCGATCACGCATCCGCTGCTCCTGGGGAACGCCCCCGTCTGCAGTCATCCATCCCTGGCCATCACCTGCTGCGCACAGGACGTCCAGCAATCGGGCCGCACCAAAATCGCACCAACCCTTCACCAACGCCTGTCGTTTGACTGTACTCCTCCGCCAACCGTCTTGCACCCCAGGCTGCTTCGGCCCGCGGGGACGGAGCGGCCCGAGCCCGGCTATCCGCCGCCGACTGCTCTCCCGGGCCGGCCCATTGCGCGCAGACAAGGCACGACATAATTCCTGGGCCGGAGACGGGCAAGTCGAATTATGATGACGTCATTTGTCTGGAGCCGGCGTGCGCCGGGGACGGGCGCGGGCTTTGTGCTGACGCGCCCCCTCGTTTGTCAGCGTGAACTGCGTGAAACGCCCCGGGGCATGCTCTAATAACGGGATACGATGGACATCTCTCGACGGGCCGAAGTTGCGAGACGGCCATGTGTCCCCGCTGTTGCGCTGGACTGCGGCAGGCGGGCCATGGGAAGGACCGAGACCCTCCGCAGCAGGGATGCCGGCGAGAGAAAAGACGGCATGAAACCTTATGGCAATGCGCTGGGCCGTTTTTGGGTTAGTTGATGCCAGTTGCTTCGACATGTATCTTCGGCATTTCGCGGCGCTCTCTTCCCTTTCGCTATCTGTACACCGCTAACGCTTGCATATGATCTGGTCCATTTTGTCTCAATCCCCAATCTCTTCCCCGGCGCAGAATGTCCCAATGCAATGTTTCCAGACGATTTAACCATCTGGCCCCACCGATCTCACTTGATCGAGCATAACAGCATTCTTGTAGAACCCCACAGCCAGGACTCTCGTCGGTCATCGACCAATCGCTGCGGGAACGTGGCATTCCGGTTTTTGTTCTGTGCGCAGGCGCATTGCTGGTCGCAAGGGATAGTTACGCACACACAATTCACGTATGGCTGGGGGGCATGCATTCCTGGCCTCTACGTGTCTGGCTCAGAATCCTTTCAGGCACACTACACCTGAACTGTCGTCGGCTGAACCACCTGGCCCATTCTTAGACCCACTAATATCACATATCAGTTACGGAGCTGCCTACAATTCTCAATCGGCTACGGCTTTCTCGTTTTGGCTGACGGAAAGAGCAAGTGCAGCCGCTTGAAACAAAACCTTTTACAAGTGCCTTTGATGGCTTCCAGAATGGTAGATTTGTCATGGACTTCTGGCTCTCGCGTCGAACTGAGGGTGTAAGTAGCTTGGATGAGTTAGGAGTAAGTAGCTTGGCTCGTCTTAAGCTTGTTGTTATCCTAAGTTAGCACATTTTGGGATCAGAGTTCGCACACAGTGTAGTTTGCTGTGCAAACTATACCCCAAGTGAGTCAACTATGGATCGTGTTGACCCAGGCTGTGGACCAGCAAATCCTGAGCGACGTTTTGCGTCACCAAGGCCGCGACACGATCACGGAATAAGCTCCGCGGAGCTCGCCCACTCTGGGAAGCACGCATGCTGCTGCAGAATACAGATGCGGGTGGCAAATGCCACGTGCTGAGCATAAACTCAGGATGTTTACACGGAGCAGAAGAGAGGCTGGAATCCTACTGAATAAGCCAGCACACATCAGAATGGCTCAGCGAAGGCATCAGCACTACATGGCTTTGAAAGGCCACACTTTGTACTTACCACATGCTGTGTTCCTCGTCACCCAGTTGCCGTGAGCTCGTCCAAATTTAGACGCTTTGCAGACAGCACGAACAAATAAAGCCTTCGTCAGCATGAGCATGCCCGATGGGGTTCAGTGGGCCGGTGGGGCCCAGCGGGCCGATGGGGTCCAGCGGGCCGATGGGGTCCAGCGGGCCGATGGGGTCCAGCGGGCCGATGGGGTCCAGCGGGCCGGGGGGGTCCAGCGGGCCGATGGGTCCAGCGGGCCGGTGGGGTCCAGCGGGCCGATGGGGTCCAGCGGGCCGATGGGGTCCAGCGGCCGATGGGGTCCAGCGGGCGGATTTTATCGGGAATAACACCCTAGAAATTTGACGTCGTAGGCATTACAACAGTCAGTGTAGCAGCATTTCGAGGACACCGTATCTATGTGGAAACCAGCTTGGAAAATGTGTGGCGAGGTCAGCTCGGGAAACAGGCGTCAGCCAGTAAAAGCGCACGTGAACCATCGCGCGCACGCATGTGTGTGTGTGTGTGCGTGCGTGTGTGCGTGCGTGCGTGTGTGCGTGTGCGTGTGTGTGTGTGTGCGTGTGTGTGCATGTGTGTGGGTGTGGGTGTGGGTGTTTGCGTGCGTGCGCACGCGTAGAGTGGGAAGGGGGCATGGCAACGTTTGCGTCGGAACCCGCGCAAGGCCTGGGTACTTTAAAGGTAATTGGTGTCCCCTTCGAAACCTGGACCAGGTGAGCTGAAGAGACCAGGTTTGATGTGCCTGTGTGACATAAGTGTCCTTCGAATTGCATTGGCATATATATATATATATATATATATATATATATATATATATATATATATATATATATATATACAGCGTATACCTAGTGTGAGCATGATATGTCGGCGCCGAATAGTAATCAGAAAAAGTTTACTGCTGTTGGTCAAGATGGCCGCCGGCCTCGCTGCAATAAAAGACCAATTTCCGGTCCAGCGTCTCACCGACGAAAATGACACATCGCGTGTGTGACAACACCAATAAACTGGCACCACCACGTTATGTCCCTGTACGAGCCACAAAAACCGCGCCGGGCTTACACAAAGCGAGCGTATGTGAGCGCGACTTTCCCCAGCTTGAGCTTGAAAAGAGAACGCTGCGTTGGGCAGCAGCGCTCTCTGTGTTTTTATGCATTACGTTTTCTTCGTATTCCATATCCCGCTTCCTCGCGGCTTTGTGAAAATTTTGCAAATGTATCCTCTTTTTCTGTCTGAAAGCAAGCGCTTACGTATATATTACTGCAGGACATGTAACGTTTTTCAAGATGCATACGTTTTTCACCGAATGGGCCTGTGGTGCCATGGAATTCCATGCTCTTATCAGGAGCTGTCAAGCGGCTTGCTGCCAAAACAGAAATGCAACCCAAGATTGACGGTTACGAGAGACGATTTTCCAATTCTGATGACAAAACTTGCATGGAGGTGACCTGCACACATGGCCAGCAAAACGCTCAGCGAAAAGTCGAGCGTGATCAACCGTGCATAGCAAATAACCAGCTCGAAGAGTTTTTAGCCTCAAAGCAATATGCACCCAGCTTGTGTAGAGTTGACACAACTTCAAAACAGTGTAAAACAATTTTGTCAAAGGTCAGGGTTGCTGCCCGACTGGCCGTGTCACTACTGTAGCGGATGGGCTGAACCACTTGTAGTACCTCAACTCGCTGACAGGTGGCTTGTTAACTGATGCGTGTGTACCAACTAAGCCGAATATCGTGATGTACGCATGCTCTAGTCCTTGCTCATAGTATTCTTGTATATTTTCCGGTTGCTATATATTTTGACTGGCATTCGCATTCCTGGCTGTGTCGCTTTTCTGAAGTTATTCAGTTCTCAGCCTTATTTCTGTTATAACTACTAGCACCCCCAAAATTCCTGCGTCATGTGTTACAAAACGTGGTACGTGTTAAAGGCATAACAACAAGCGAAAATGTGTACAACAAAATGCAGCTGATCGAAAACCAACTGCTGCGTGGTGATTCTTCAAGTTGTGGTGTCGTGCTCCAGACACGAACAAATCGATGGTTGTATGTTTTTCCACCGTCAACGCAATCTGAGCACTGAGGAGGTGGAATGCAAGTGATGTTTTATGACGTCATACATCTCAGAGCTACAAATTAGGCGACGCGAATAATCTGCACAAATTACGGTGTGCCTGGCCCATAAACGAGAAAATTTAAAGCCTTAAAATGGCATAACTGTGAACTGCAAGCAGGTATCTCGAAGATGGCTATCACAGTCCCAAACTCCATGCAAAGGTGAAACAGCACTTAACAAGTATTCTGAGCATGGCCACTCCCATTTTCGGAAAAGCTCCTACGCCTTCGTGTAATAGATATAAAAGGTAGGTATGTCAGTTGGTATGTAGATTGTCTTGTCTGTCTAAAATAATTTATGTCCATTGCTTACAAGCAAAGTTATCGTTTTTGATCGCAAAGCCGTTGTTCTTTATTTATCATAATGTGTGCGTTAGCGGCTGGGACATCAGCTACGTGTAGTGGCATCCGTATTTTGATGCATCTGATCATCATTCGAAATGACACGTTCAGGTCAGGTTACCCCAAGGCTCCAGTTTGGCCATATAATCCGGACTCGTTTCTCAATCGCAGAGACGTGGTTACATCTATGTTGAAAAGCCCTAACGTTTATCTACACGTCAGACCAGCTGAGCTGCAAGTCACGACGGACTGTTTTCTACCGTTTGCGGTGGCATACTGCGGGAGTGGCGTCTTCTAAACAGATCCACCGAAAGGAGCCAATGAACATAAAACGGACGAACAGAAAACCGAAAACTTGGGCCGAAAAATGAAAGGTGAGACGCCCGGTGCCGAGCTTGCGGCATGTTGAGCTTTTGTCGCAAAACTCTGCCGTCGTTATGAGTTGCACGATGCACGTTATGGAGTTGCACGATCGTATGATGGGGCCTGCGCTCATGTAACAAACACTGTTTAGCGCGTGGGCACCAACGGAGGCGTAGCCAGAATTATTTTAAGGGTGGGTGTGGGGAGGGGGAAGGGCGGGAAAGTGAAGCTTGGTGAGACTTTACCGAGCCGTTTTTATTT